GAAGGTGAGGGTCGCCATCCAGGAAGGGAATGGCGATCCCACTCGCTAGTTCAAGACGCACGACACTGAGGAGGCCGGTCTTGAGATGAAGGATCACATTGAGACCGGGGGGTCTACCGTGATCTGAGGACGACGGCGCTGATGAAGCCGCTCCTCCTATGAAGGCGAGGGTCGCCATCCAGGAAGGGAATGGCGAGCCCGCTCGCTAGTTCAAGACGCCCGGCGCTGAGGAGGCCGGTCTTGAGATGAAGGATCACGTTGAGACCGGGGGGTCTACCGTGATCTGAGGACGACGGCGCTGATGAAGCCGCTCCTCCTATGAAGGCGAGGGTCGCCATCCAGGAAGGGAATGGCGAGCCCGCTCGTTAGTTCAAGACGCCCGGCGCTGAGGAGGCCGGTCTTGAGATGAAGGATCACGTTGAGACCGGGGGGTCTACCGTGATCTGAGGACGACGGCGCTGATGAAGCCGCTCCTCGTATGAAGGCGAGGGTCGCCATCCAGGAAGGGAATGGCGAGCTCGCTCGCAAGCTCAAGACGCTCGGCGCTGAGGAGGCCGGTCTTGAGATGAAGGATCACGTTGAGACCGGGGGGGTCTGCCGTGATCTGAGGACGATGGCGTTGATGAAGCCAGTCGTCTGAAGATGAAGGGGGCGGAGCCGGTCCTATGATGAGGACGGCGAAGCCGTACCTATAATGAAGGACGACGTTGAGCGCTCGTCTGATCCGCATATAAGATCTTGCTTCGTCCATAATGCATAGTATTTGCCTGATATGTACTTAGCCAAATATGTGGCTTGATTTGTGGGGATTTCATTTTTATTGCTCGAGGCCGGCGAGTGCTCGGTCCTTGGCTTCCCTCTTTTGATTTTTGGGGATTTCGCTAGAGGCCGGCGAGTGCGCGGTCCTCGGCTCTCCCTCTTTTAATTTGTGGGGATTTCGCTCGAGGCCGGCGAGTGCGCAGTCCTCGGCTCTCCCTCTTTTATTTCTTCCTCTACTGCTATGAGCGAGGAGTGGGGGTCCTTCTTTCAGGCTCGACCGAGGGGGTTGCTATTCCCTCGGCCGATAGGGAGTCCAGGAGGGCAACTGTCCGGCCTCTTGCGCTGGCGCGTCCCTAGACCTTGGGGGGTCCCGTCGTCTATTTATGGTGCGGGCTAGGCTTTTGGTCGGTTACCGACGGCTGTCGTTTCCCAACCCCAAGTGTGGGGATTTTGTCATCTCAGCCATTCTATCAGGAGTGTCGTAATGCGATTTAGTGCGAGGACAACGCGATGAGCTTCCCATTTCGAGACGTGGGCCGTTTGCGGGCCCCTCGTCCTGGGACGTCGTTGGCCATACCTGAGCGTTTCGCTCTAAGGGGCCGGAACGACGTTCTTTGTTGTGTGGCGTCGTCGGCCATACCTGAGCGTTTCGCTCGAAGGGGCCGAAGCGACGTGCTTTGTTGTGTGGCGTCGTCGGCCATACCTGAGCGTTTCGCTCGAAGGGGGCGAAGCGACGTGCTTTGTTGTGTGGCGTCGTCGGCCATACCTGAGCGTTTCGCTCGAAGGGGGTGAAGCGACGTGCTTTGTTGTGTGGCGTCGTCGGCCATACCTCAGCGTTTCGCTCGAAGGGGGCGAAACGACGTGCTTTGTTGTGTGGCATCCTCTACTTAAACTTTACAAGAAATAAGCAGAACACAATAGGTGTGTTGTTTATGGTAACGGCTTTTATTAGGGTCAGTGGCTCGAGGCCGAGGGGGGTAACCTTCTGAACAACTCGTACAAGAGTTAGCTTCCCAATGAGTTTCTGACCTTGGGGTGGGGGCTCTGCCGTCTGCACCCTCTTCGGATTGCTGGTAGAACTTCACCGAGATGTAGGGCCCTTCGTATTTTGAGGGATAAGCCGTCTGCCATGCGTCCCTTCGAGGAAGGACGCAGTCAGCGGATGTGACGCTTCTTCCGTTGGGGCTCCTCGAAGTCCTCGTCATCGCTGAGCTTCCCAATTTCATGCTTCTTCGTTGAGGTGTCCCCTTCCTGATTGCCGGTGGAGTTCCTTGGGGCAACTTTGACAAATTGGTGGAGTTCACCCCGTTGAATCAAGCGCTCAATGGCTTTCTTCAGCGCGACGCAGTCGTCTGTATTGTGGGAGGTGTTCTTGTGGTAACGACAATAAGTGCCACCCTGGTGGACGGTGTAGACTTCCGTGGCCGACCGGGGATCTTTAGGGATGAGACCTTGCTCCTCCGCATAGTCCAAGATGGTGTCCACCGAGTGCGTGAGCGTAGTCCTCGGGACGTCCGTCCTTGGCTGCCATGGGCGCTCCTTCCGGTTTCGGCGGGCATGGCCCCCGGCCGAGGATGCAATTGGAGCCGACGCCTCGTCTGACCTCTTTGATGGTTGGCCTACGTCCTTCTTGCGGGAGTGGAGCTCATCGGCGTCAGCGTACAAGCTCCCTCGTTGGAGTGCCTTGGTGTATGACCTCAGTGGGTCAGTGATGAGGCTCCTCGCATAGGGGCTGCTGCGGAGAACGCCTTGGAAGAGGACGAGGAGGGTGCGCTCATCGGCACCTTCGACCTCGTCTGTCTCCTTCGTCCATCGATCGATGAAAGACCGAAGTGATTCATCGTGTTGCTGCTTGATGGAGAGAAGGTGGGAGAAATGTTTTCTCACGCGCTTCCTTCCGGCGAAGTGGGTGAGGAAGCGTTGGGCAAGGTCCTGCCACGAATCTATGCTTCCTTCGGGGAGCGCGTTGAACCACTCGTACGCTGGCCCTTCAAGAGTGGAAAGGAACCAACGGCAGCGGTATTCATCTGATGCGTTCACCATCAGCATGTTGTTTTGATAGCGGCTGAAGTGCTCCTGAGGTTCAGAGCGGTCGTCATAGGGCTTGATGGCGTTCCCTCGGTACTTCTTGGGTATTGGGGCCGAGAGCACCCTCGTGGTGAAGGGAGTTTTTGTTCTGATTTGGATGATGGGGTCACCACATCTGTCGGCCAGCTCCCTCTCCAGGGCGCTGACCTTAAGCATGAGCGCGTGGTAACCTGGACCCTCGGGTGAGTTGGCCGTAGGGATGGTGGCCGATTGTCTATCCTCCATCTGGGCCAGTCTCCTTTCCAGCTGGGCGATGACCTCGTCACGAGGGTCCTTGGCGGCCGTAGTGGCGCCTTGCTGGTTGTGCACGCGAGCTTCTTGAGTCGTGTTGATTCGATGACGCGCATTGTCCTCGTGCAATTTTTCTTTGCCTTTGTCCAGGTGGGGCTGATCCGCTGTCCGGGATACGGACCCCAAGCTTTCCCTTGGTGAGCCAGGCTCACGTTCACCAATCCGTCCCGCCATCCTCTCCGAAGCAGGTCGACGACGCGTGTCACCTAGCCTATTAAAGGCTGAGGCTTTTCCACGCGTTGGGGCCGGTCCAACTCGAAGTGGGGAAGCAGGGTGGGAGTGGGATGACGACGTGTCCTGGGGCACCACCCCTTCGTCATTGCCCAGCTTGATGGCCAACGGCTGGGGCTGAGGAGGTGGTGTAGTGTTCTCCCCAGTCCTTGGCATGAGTGCGCTGAGGACGGTGGGGTTCTGGGCCAGGCTGGCGATGATGGCCGAGAGAGCGGCTTGGAGCTGAGGGTCAACGGCAAGAGAAGTCGGTTGCCCAGAGACGTTGTCACCCTTTTCTGCGCGCTTCTTGTCCAAGCTGATGCGGGCGTCTGGGGCGGCGCCGTTAAGTTTGGTGCGCAGGTCAGTGGTGAGGCTGATGGCTTCTTGGAAGACGTCTCCCTCGGCGGCCTTGTCGGCCGTTGCGTCCTCCTCGTGTTCCTGATGCTCTTGGGCCTCGGGGATGGCTTTGCCGAGGAGGCTACGGTTTGACTTAGTTCTTCCCATTATCAGTTAGTTCTGCTTGGTAGCGACGAAGGAGACTAACTTGATTGTTCTAGCTCTCAACGAGAGCACCAAATGATAGAGTATTAACTCCTAGATTCTAGAGAGAAGTGAGAGCTAGAGAGAGAAGTAGTATATTTGCTTTGTATTAATGAATTCTGTGAACCCTTACAACTACTCCCAAGGGGAGTATTTATAGAGAAAATTAGGGCTGGGCTCCCAAGTCTTGGGCTTGGGAGATCCATTTACAACAGGGCCACTAATGGACCGGATACAAAGTGTATAGAAATGATGAGTATAAAATCCTGTTCTAGAGGCTATCTATGGATGACGAGGACATGGCCGATGAGGGCATGGCCGATGAGGTCATGGCCGACGAGGTCACCCGGTTCTCCTGACTTCTGGTTCATATTCTGGGTGGCCTTCTTTCTGGCCGATGAGAGCATGGCCGATGAGGCCGATGAGGTCACCCGGTTCTCCTGACTTCTGGATCGTATTCTGGGTGGCCTTCTTTCTGGCCGGTGAGGGCATGGCCGATGAGGGCATGGCCGACGAGGGCATACTGGTTCCCTGACTTCTGGATCGTATTCTGAGTCGGTCCCTCTTCGGCCGACGAGGGTCCTTTGGCCGACGAGGGCACTGCGTAGTGGTTTGTACTTTCTGTTCTTCTGAGTATGTGGGTCCTGCGGCCTAGACCCATATACTCCATCAATATATTAAAACATTAGTGTGATAATTGACAATTTCTAAAACAGTTTATTAAAGAAGTTTTATATGTATTTCTAATTGACGGTGTGGTTTATATAAATTTTGTATTTCTATGAAGTTTGTAAAACAGTTTTTTATAAGTATCTAATAAATCACAGTTTTATAAGTATTTAATAATTGACAGTTTTATAAGTATGTAATAATTGAATTTTTTTATAAAAGACAATTTAATAATAAGCTTTCTTAACATGTAATAATAGAGCATTTTTGAAAAAAATTGGTAAAATAAAAAAAACGGTATATTTTAATATATAAAAACAGTATTTTTAAATGAAAACAGTATTTTTTGTATTACTTTTTAGAAAAAACAGTGTATTGTAATCATAAAAAACAGTATATTTTTTGTATAAAACCGTATTTTTTGTATTAGTTTTTAGAAAAAAGGTATATTTTTGTATAAATTTCTATAAATACAGCATTTTTTGTATTAATTTTTTTAAAAAAATGGTATGTTTTTATTAATTTTTATATAAAAAAAGTATTTTTGTATTAATTTTATAAAAATCAATGTATTGTAGTATTAAAAAACAGTATTTTTTTATTAATTTCATTTTTATTATTCCTTACAAATATAAACTGTTTATAATATATGTAACATATTAAACTGTTTATAAGTTTAATATGAGGGAGCCGAAATTTAAACTGTTTGTATTATGTTGGAATCATATATGTAACATATTAAATTGTATCCAAGTATTCCAGTCCAGCTGGTTGTGAGAGGTCTCGAGTTACACAGCATTACCTTTTTTTAAGCAAATACTGTGAGTAAAAGTTGAAGTAATTGGATTTACTTCTCCGATTTGGAATTTGGATAGGTGTTTTCAGACGGTGATAGTTCGAAGAGTTGGGAATCATAAAGTTCCTTACTTCCTACTCAACGTAAAATCGGTAAAACCTTAATTACGCCGGTTTTCCGATCGAAATGCTGCCATCGCTGCCATCATTGCCGGATGAACTCAAAATTGAAATCTTCACCAGATTACCCGTCAAGTCTCTGATGCGTTTCACTACATTGAGTAAGTCATGGCTTTCTCTATTGTCAGATTTTGGATTCTTCTCAGCACACCTGTCTAAAGGAGCTAGCGAACATTTCTTCTGTGTAACTAAGAGCGACCCGAATATTCTTCGTTTTGCTCTTATCAAAGATGGAGAAAATCTCGACGGCAATCTCACGCTACAACTTGGACCAATCGTCAAACCTGATAGGGAATTCCCAATGTGGTCTTATGTTTTTTTCAATCCAAAGGATTCGGCGGAGATTGAAATTGTGGGCAGCTTCGATGGATTGCTTTGTTTATGCTTTCTCCGTCCAGATTCTCAGCCGTTAATGATGTTATGGAATCCTTCTATTCGAAGACACTTGGTGTTACGACCTCCTAGTAAAATTTAGAATGTAGTATTAGTTATAAGTTTATTTTTATAGATAATATGTATTATTCAAGATTCCAAAAGATATATAATTTTTAGATTCTCTAATTTGTGTACTTTAAACATCATAAACTTATATTTCATTGAACTGTCTAGTCTACATGCATTTCATTGTTCAAATTTGTAATTTTGGTCTTTTAGGGGACCTCAATTTTCCATATGGAACCGGGGCCTCCAAATTCATTAGACGGCCCTGATTTTGCTTGGAAACAAAGATGCCGTTGCAGATGTGCATTTGCTTGAGGCTGTTGTAGGTGTGAAATAATGTTGTAAAGGTTTTCTTGTTTCGTCAAATCCAATTTGGTTAAGCCAACATAATATATTGGCAATTTGACTTGAGTGGTTCTCCTTTTCTTATTTATACGTATTGCTTTCAGTTTTCTTTACTTTACAAGTTAATCTAACTTTTTCCTGTCTTGTTATTCCTTAAATCTTTAGATTCAGGGCTCGTGGAAGAGGAGATGCAGATGGTGGACAAGCAATATAGCCAAGGTTTTACAAACCATTGGCTTGTTTCTTTCCAAGGGAAAAGGTTAATCATATCTATCTTAATATAAAAGCAAAAGAATTGGAGGAACAGTGTTCCCACCTACATATGTCAACATCATGTTAATTTTTAATTTTTCAGTAAAATTATTTACAATCAATTGTGTTCACGTGTTAATTAATAGAAAATAGGGTGAGACTTCTCTACTACAGTGTTGTCGGTTCAAGGCAATCGGTAGATTAAAAATTGGTTGCATTGCAATTGGTTGAGACCTCTTCGCTACAGTGTTTTCATTAAAGTCTTGCGCGTTTGGGCATTCAAGAATACGCAAGGGATTTGGATCTTTGCAATCCTATTGGTTCAAGTCATGTGGGAAGAGTAAAAAATTCATGCAAGCATTCTTATTGGCTTTTGTTGGCGGTGTGCACTGTTTTCACACATATATCCTATTGTTTTATTGGTTGAATGGGGTGGTGATAACAGTGTGTTTGATTTTGTGTATCCCACTCTAATAATTACGAGTTCACCACTCATCTATAAAAGCATGCCTGAAGCATGAAGCTAACCATTCAGCCGGATACAAAGTGCAATAGCATAATTTTTTCAATATTCCTTTCAAAATGGTTGGAATGTGGTCAATGATAAGGGAAATTGATCAAAGCAGGACTACTTGGGCCATCAAGGCCAGGGCTACAAGAGTGTACAGGGAACCTGCCCATGATGGTTTTCCCCCTTCTTTGGAAGTGTTATTCCATGACGAAGAGGTAAATTTCATGGTTTGCCTATTTTCCTTGATTACTTGATTGTTTTAAATGACCAGTTTGATTTTGACAGTGCTCCAAGATTCATGGACACATCCCGGATCAGTATATTGGCAAATTTTGCAACCTATTCAGGGAGGGTAGAATTTACGCAGTGAAAAACTTTATGGTAGAAGAGAACTTCATGTTTTTCAAAACGACTACTAGCGCATATAGGCTTCGATTCTTTAAGAAAAATGAAGGTTTCGAGATCCAAATCCCTTTCCCTTTGAGGACTTTTAATTTAGTGTCCTTCGCTGCTTTACAAGCAGCGGAAACAATTGACGACAAAGCTGTTGTGGGTATGTTTCAAACTGAATAAGATAAAATTGCATAACTAATTGTTGATCGATTAATATAAAGAGAGTGTGTGCAGATATCATTGGACAGGTCGTTCATGATAAAGATCCAAAGACAATTCTTAAAAATGACCGTCCTAAGAAGCTTATTGAGCTCATCCTAGGAGATACCGAGTTAGGCTCTTTCATAACTCAAGTAAATGCACAATCTATTTCGCTATTTTAAGTTACACCAATCCTAGGAAATGCGTTTATTAAAAGGGGAAATGTGATCGGCTGCACACTCTGGGGTCCCACGGTTGAAATGCTGTTAACGTATAAGTTGACCACGACGGAACCCATTGTCATGCTGCTTCAATGCTGCCGCGCAAAGAAATACCAGGGTAGAATACGGATTCTGTTCTTTACATAATCTTTAAGTTTTTTTATGGCTCCTTAATAAAAAAAATTCAGGTCATGTTCATGTATCCAACATGTTCAACACAACCAAGGTTATTCTAAATGAGGTAGAGGACGAGTTTAACGACTTCAGATCAAGGTTTAAAATTAGCCAACAACGGAATCCTTAATACTACGACCACATTATTAAATGCAATGTCATTTGACGTTTTTTTTAACTCAGGATGGCGAATAGATGCGGTGACGGTTTGAGTTTCACAATTTCCTCTGATACGTCTAATGAGGGCGATATTGGCACCGGACAGATACAGCTGGTGACAATAGATCACCTCACCCAAATGGAAGAGGTTTGTTTAAAACATAGAAGTGTATATTGAACTAATAGCCTAGACGCAAAATTTACTAAAAAATGTACTTTTTAAAGGATGGTAAACATTGGGTCTACGGAGAAATTGCGGCGATAGATAGTCACAAAGATTGGTCCTATGTTTCATGCATTGGTTGCAACCGCAAAGTGACACCGAATGGTGACACCTTTATTTGCTTATCTTGCAATTCACGAGATGCTGTCCTAAGGTATAGAGTAAACGTAAGGGTTGTTGACAAAATTGCACATGCTTCCTTTCTTCTCTGGGACAGAGAGGTTTCTTGCTTGATTGGACGTTCTGCTTCATCTCTAAAGGAACAAATATCTAAGGTATGACCATCAGTTAATATTGTTTCTGATTCCCTGCTCTCTATTTAAGGACATTCACACCTAATCATCACTCCGTTGTGTAGAGGAACTTTGGACCACATTACTTCCCCGCAGAAATCAATGCCTTGATTGACATCAAGGCGTTATTCCGCGTTCATTGCAAGAAGGACAGCAGGAACTATAAGGGAAATCAGAACTTTAGTGTGCTAAGGATGAATACAGACCCTAAAGTAATTTCACTCTATATACCTGACTCAAGTGCAGCAGAGGTACATTATTTCACTAATGGGGTGTGGTTTTGGAAGGCTTAGGTTTAAATATAAGTTACCATTCTTGCTTATCTCAATATAAACAGGAGGAGGATGACTTCACCAGGTTGAAGAAAGAGTTTTCAGCTGGCGAAAAGGTGCAAGCCTTTTTTTCTACATGTTGATTTAAAACCAGGGATTGCTTTTCTATGTAAGTTGAACTTCAATTAATCTCATTCAGGTGGGTTCTTCACATCAGGTGGTTTCGAATAGCCCTTTACTGAACAAAGAAAAAAGGATTGCACTCGAGGTTGATGGAGACAAGGTGAAGAGGGATCTTTTTGGAGAATTTTCATCTACCGTTGCAAAGAAAAGGATGAAGGGCATAAAGATTGAGGAGCCTAAAGCTTGAATTTGTTCCCGTGGTTTATTTGCGGTTTTAATTATGCCGTCTAGATCTCTAACTTTCATATGGTAATAATGTAGTGTCTTGGGACTGGCCGTACGGGAATGAAATCTTAGAAGACTAAAAGCTTCTCTAAAGTCAAAGTCTTCTAAGTGTTTTGGATTTTGTGTTTTGTTATTGGTTGGCACATTTATACCTAAAGTGTGCTCTGCGTGTAACCTAAGTACTACAATCTATTAATAAAGTAATCCCAATGTTATGTTTGATATTTCATATTTATGTTTTCAACATGAACAGTTATTTCATATTGGACATGGATTTATTATTATGTTACCAGGAAGAAGGTAATGCATTTGTTACCCCTCTATTCCCGTGGTACACAAATTTCAGGCTTGCGTCAAAAATGAAAAGGTAACAAATCTTATTGGACCTACTTTAAAACTACACCAAGGAAAAATATTTAGAGAGACCTGAATGGGTAAAATACTTATACTGACTATACTTCGTAAAAATTAATGACTACATGTAATTGTAATATATAGAGTGGAATATGGCTAACATTTAAGTTATATATTTTTTGACTCGATATATGTTTGAAGAGTTATATCATGTCAAATTGGTTATAGACAAATGGTCATGTAACACAGGTTGTTTCAGATAAGAAATTCTATAACAACTCAAAATCATGATACATATTCAATTTTTGAGATTGAATATGGGAACTCTTCAAAACAGTTGTCTGATAGTTATACGTGGATGGGTGTAACAGCAGTGAAGGTAATTAAAACCGAAGCAGTGTGTAGATAAACGTACCTGGATTCGACGTTGAACGTGGCAAAACCTAAATCTACCCTATCTCTAATTATTACAACATTTACAAATTGAAAATAAAATAGAGGATTACATATACAAGAAACAAAGTAGATGGAAACATCACTGCCCTTCATGTTTCAAAATATATGTTATTGGTCAGAACACAAAAATTAATGCAACTCAAATGTGATGCTAACTTCTAAAGTTCATTAAAATAGGTTATGATAACAAATTATCAAGAACACAACATGTGGCAATAATACAGTGTATTTGCAGTTATTCCATCACACACCATTGCTCACCCCCCTGATTTGCAAGCATTCATAGGGCAATTAGTTTTACTACTGAAATTTACATACAATATATTACCTCTTAAAGGCAACTACAATATTGGTCAAGTAATAAATGGTAAAGTAATTGGCCAAGGAGTACAAATAACTAATAAATAAGGAAATAAACATGGATGCCCGATTATAGGAAACACAGGAACATTTAATCGGAGGAGTGGCAAATTTATCTATGCATAATACTACAATAAATACATATATCAGTTTCATTGCAAAAAGCATGTTACCTCAACATATAAATATAATACGGAAGTTCCTAAATTTATGAAGAAGTTTCCTAAAAATTTATATGTGAATTAGTAGTATCTAGTCATTCCTTTTGAAAAAAATCGAGGTATAAGACTTATAAAACATTAAAAAAATCACTCCATAATAATATTTACGTAAAAAGACTTATAATAAGATGTGATATTTCTTGAATTAACTTTTTTTATACAAAGTGAACTATTTCAAATTGTTTATTACTAACCTTGCGCAGGAAATATTCAGAGATATTTTGGCACTTTACAGTGTTTCAGGTATGGGCAATACGTGTGATGGGTAAATTCATCTCATGTTTGTGGATGAAAAATCTGCACATCACCGTATCTATCAGCCAAATCTATATGTATATTATCTCTGAAATGTAAATAATTACTGTGATTTGAGACAGTCACTAAACTAATTTGTGAGTGGTTACTTTTTGTGTCATGAATAGTGCTTTAATATAATTACAGTATGGGTAGTTGTGTGAGTGGGTTTAATGATTATATTCACTATTCTTTCTCTACAAATTTAGTTTTCACATAGCCATAAAGAAGATAATATATATATTCCACTCGGTTATAGATCATTCAACCCAGAACAAGCCTTTCCTTTACCTATTGTTCAAATCCGTGCTGTCCACTTCTAATCTATCAGAATCTTATTAAGTGTGATCAAAGTTGAGTTCCACTTTTAGGTGAGTAACATATTCAATGTAAATCCTATGTTGCCCTTTTGATTTTTAATTATCTCTTAAAAGACTAAACTAATCTTATCTATTTAACGTACATAATCCTTATATTTATTTACTGAAGTAGTATTATTTCGTGTATTTAATATCAACTTCTACCTATAATAATTCATAAAAATTCAATGATTGTTTGGAATAAAATGGATCAC